CATATTCAAAGCATCCTGATTCTCCCCAGTGAAGAGGAATGGTAAACAAACACAACTGCACATGATAGAAGAGAAAACACATTCTAAATGGGAAAGAAACTTGCAATTTATAAGGCTAGGAATTATTTTTTCTAGGTAGCGAGGCACAGCTGCTAGAAAAAATTGACATGTTTTGGGATCACAGGCATATCCTCAGATACCCAACAGGAATGAAGAAGAAGCTGCATTATATTCAAGTTTTGACCCAAGTTTTATACTTGACTGAGTAGAAACCTGGATGAATCCTTGGGCACAAGATGCACTGATTTTTCCCATGGCTGCGCTAGTTAAGCCACAGTGGTCAACATGGTGCCCCACAGTCAAGTCCACCCATCATCTTTTAAGGAGGAAAGTTCTCTTGAGGTCAACTGTATAGCAAAGTTCCTCCAAATTTTGTTCATATTCTCATTAGGGTGCACAGAAATGTTTCATGTCCTTGTAACTACACCACAGTGCAAACTGCACCCAGAGGTAGTCAAGCAAACAAGTTCACGTCCCCCATGCTGCTTTGGGTGTCAGTAAATTAACCTGCTACTGCTTGAAGAGCGTGCAAACCTAGGTTGCAGCAGCAGCATGACACACAGGGTGTGTGTCAACTTCCTGCAGACTGCCAGGCATAATCAATACCTTCTTTTAAGGCACAGCTAAGTCTGCTCAAAAGACAAGATATTGCCTGTTGGTGTTCCTGCTGTCCCTAGCTTTCTGCTCCTGGAAGCCAGTCCTCACAACTCTGCCTGTGTAGCTCCACGTGAAGTTAGCTCTTGGGCATTGAGGAAGGCTCTTACAACTCACAGGACTGCTTTCACACTGTAATCTGTTAGAGATCATTCCCAACAATTGCACAGCCAATGATTAAGCGTGGAAAGTGCACCTTTTCAACCAGCACTGCTAAATCCAGCACAGGGTGCTTGCAAACAACTGAAAGTTAGCCTGAGCATGTCAGCACAACACAAAGCTGCCTGAACAACTGTGGTTTGAGTTTGATGCCCTAAATTCATACAATCAGTTCTACAGTATAATCGAGCTCTGATCCCACTTATTCTGGGATTAATGAAGAGCAACATCTCCTGCAGGCACTGCTTTTGTAGGTAAAGCTAGTATAGAGAAAAGAGATTCAGGACCAAGAAATTAATCAGGATGTGTCTTGTGAGCACAAGCACTTGTAAGGGTCTAATAAAGCTATCACAATCCCAGCTATGGGAGCAAAAAATGGAATGATTTATTGAACACATGAATGCTATTTAAGGGTCCTGGGGGTTTAACATGCTAATGAGGAGGCAGGTTTATTCCAAAGAGGGGTTTCCACAATCCATTAGAATAATGGGGGTGACATAAGGGGAAATATGGATTTACATTTCTCAGATCCAGTATTTACATTTGGGGAAAAAGCAAGATTATACTGGGGAAGGGTGGTCAGCTTTTCCTGAAATAAGAATTTACACAGGGAGGGAGAAAACAATGAGATAGTTGATAGCATCATGCAAAGTCTTTCTACTTCCTGCTGGGGGAGATCAGGACAATCCACATGAAATGAATGTCAATGGATCTTGTCTGGTCTTTTAGACAACGTTTTTTTCCCAGCCCCTGTGGTCCAAGGTTTCCTGTTTAATCCTAGCAGTTCCTTTCCTGTTGGTATTCAAATTTTGGACTGCAACAAGCACTTAGCAACAGCTTCTACTCCCTGTGAGTTTCTCTTACTGGCAAAAATGTGGTCTCAACATCAGCATGTGCTGGGACTCAGGGATGTCAGGGGCAGGCTCACTTCCTGGATTACAGTCAGCATTTCCTGGATTCAAGTCGTACACAGGCCAGAAATAACTCTTTGCATCTTGAGTGAGCTTCTGCTATTGAAAATGGCCTATTTTTGCATTCACTGCAAGATAAGACTGGACACAAGCTTTTCGCAGAAAAAAAATGTTTCTTCTGCTTCAGTTATTTATTGTTCAGGAGACATTTGGAGAGAGGAACACGGGGAATGGCACTGCAAATGCTATCACCAAAACCAACAGGAAGTCAAGTCTCCTAAATGTCTGACTTCACATCCCTATAGAAAAAAAACCCCAAATCTACCCCTAATAAAAATCAAAGGAACAACAATAACCCTTCACTGTTGCTTTGAAACCTGCAAAGTCTACACTTGTACCAGAAATTTCTCATGTACAGAAGACACTGCAAAGTGAATGGGTGCAAGCAGGCAGTGAGAGACTGTAGAGCCTGTAGTTCTTGGCCTTATGTCAGCCTGATATAAAAGTGGGGTTTTCTACTTCTGATAAAGCTCCAAAATTCTGTGAACTATGCTGAAGACTTCCAGCAGCTGTGGTTAATTAACCACAGCTTACTTAACTGCTTACTACTTAATTAACTGCTTACTACTTTTGAGGCCATTGTTTTTTGCTTTGAAAACAATGTCAATGGTATCAGGTGTCAAGGAATTTTCAAAACCACACTCTATGTGAGACTTCTGCTTGCTGTTTAACATTAAATTGCATAGGATGAATGGAGAGACCATTAAGTGGACCAGTATAGTTTCTGGGAGCAATTTCAGACTGTTCCTCCAGACAATCATTTTTTTACCATTATTTCTCACATTAATATCAAAAAACAAGCCTTTGTCCAAACAGGAAAACAAGCTACAGGTTTACTCTTACCACAATACACATGCTAAAGGACGTCTTTCTCTGGAGACTTGTTAAAAAGTTACTAAGAAGCAGACAGCATTATCCTGATAAACGCATTGATGGAACAATTGAGGACAGTTGGCTTAGGAACAGTGACTTCAAAATAATCTTAATCTGAATTGATTTTTTATATATATATATATATATATTTGGGATCAGATGCTGACTTCTAAGGTTAAATAAAAAGCGTATGTGTATATCACAAAAAAGACAAAAGTTTTTGACATCTTAAGTATTTTTTTAATAAATTACAAACAAATATTTACAGACAACAGTAGAGGTAAGGTATCTAGCCCTACAAAAAGATCATATGAAATGCAGTGCAGTTCCTGTAAAATGCTTAAATGGTATGTGTAGTAATAAGCAAAAAGTTCATTTTCTGTAGAGTCTGTACTTCTTACCATAGGACATGGTAAGGGCACAAGTTACCTGTGATCCTTCTCATACTGTTAGTTAAGACATAGAGGATAGAGGTCTGAAGGGTACAGGGTCATAGAAACAAAACAGACCTCAGAAAGAAAAAAATTGGCAGAAGGGGCCAGAAGATAAATGCACAAATGCATGCAGTGTAGAAAGCAAGGAGGTAGAATTTTAGTCTTCCACGAATTCACAGAACTAAATGAGCTTGGAGACTATCAGGCCATGCTGATAGTCAGGAAAATACGCAGGTAAATCAGAAGATTCAGCTTGGCTAAGCAGTTGTGGATGCCCCATCACTGGCAGCGTTCAAGGTCAAGTTGGATGGGGTTTTCAGCAACCTGGTCTACTGAATGACATACTTGTCAATGGCACTAGATAATCTTTAAGTCAAGTTTGCAGATGACACCAAATTGTGGACAGTCAGTCAACACAGAATCATAGAATCAGCTGGGTTGGAAGAGACCTCTGAGATCATCAAGTCCAACCCTTGATCCACTACCGCTGCGGTTACTAGGCCACGGCATTAAGTGCCACATCCAGTCACTTTTTAAAAATCTCCAGGGACGGAGAATCCACTACTTCCCTGGGCAGCCCATTCCAATGTCTGATCACCCTCTCTGTAAATTCTTTCTAATATCTAACCTAAACCTTCCCTGGCACAACTTGAGACCATGCCCTCTTGTCTTGCTGATAGTTGCCTGGGAAAAGAGACCAACCCCCACCTGGCTACAACCTCCTTTCAGGGAGATGTAGAGAGTGATAGGTTCGCCCTAGCTTCTCTTCTCCAGCTGAACAGCCCCAGCTCCCTCAGCCTCTCCTCATAGGTCTTGTGCTTGAGTCCCTTCACCAGCCTAGCTGCCCTCCTCTGGACCTGCTCCAGGACCTCAGTATCCTTCCTGAACTGAGGGGCCCAGAACTGGACATGGTACTCCAGGTGTGGCCTCACCAGTGCCTCACCATACTAAAGGACTGCCCGACAGAGAGACCTAGACAGGTTAAAATTAAAAAAGGACAAATGTAAAGCTCTTGGAAAGAGGAACCACTTGTAATAATACAAGCCAGGATGTGGCTGGCAGGGGAGCAGTTCTGTTGAAAAGAAGCAGAGGGACATCAATAAGCAGCAAGTAGAACATGAGCCAGCAGTGTTCCCTGGCAGCAAAGGCAGACAACAATATCCTGGTCTGTATTAACAGGAGCTCAGCCAGTAGATTGAGAGTAGAGATTATCCTCCTCTACTCAGCACACATTGATTAGACTGCATTTAGAATACTGCATTGGAGCCCTTCAAGAAGGCAGAGATCAATTAAATTGGAGTAAGTTCAGTGAAGGGCTACCAAGATGGTCAGAGCACTTGTCCTGCAAAGAAGGAGAAGCTGAAGGCACTGTACTTGTTCAAGTCTGGAGAAGAGTAAGCTTTAGGAAGGTACCTAGCAGCATCCTTCCCATACTTACTGATCATTAAACTGATCATCAAGAAGATGGAGACAGTAGTTCCAGTTGGGAGAATGGAAGATAATGGGCATAAGTTGGAACAAGGAGAAAGATGAAAGGTAACGTCATGCAAAAATTATAAAAAGCTTTAGATAAAAAATAAACCACTGCTAATAGTAATGCAACTCTGTTCCAGTGCAACAACAAACTGAAATGTAGTTTAATCACAATGTGAACCACTGCCATGAGATGATCAGTTTGCCAGGCTTCTGCCAACTCCAGGACACAGCTTTGTCTGGAGCACTGAGTTCCTGTTACATAACCAAGACTAGAAAATACAACTTCCATCCATCTGGGTCTGCTGAAGGATGAGCTGTCTTTCTTCTGACTATAAAAAGGTACTGATCAAAAATTGCATAGAAAGCTGAGCAGTTAGGCCTTAGCTCTTACATTCTGTGTTAGTAGAGCACTAAAAACTCCATACAAAACAACCCAAAAGACTTTTTCCATGATTCAGTCTATTTATCTTCACACAGTAACACTAGAAAAGGAGGCTGTCGCCTTTGAGAAAAAAAAAATAGGCACTGGAAACTGCTTGACTAGTCTTCAAAGTGGTTCTTTATAAAGCTCTGATAACTTCATTGTATGTGGAAGACCTTCAAGGGAAGAGGTAGCAGCTTCTTCGCCACTGAATTTTACAGCTTCTCTTCCATCTTTCTTTGCTCCAAAAAGCAATTATTTGCTCATGATTTAAGATCTGAAACAAAAGAATAAGAAAGTACACAGGTAAATTACTGTCTTTTCTTCTAGAAATTTAAGGAATTATATGAGAATACTGCAAACTTTAAATACTACTAAAGTGTGAAGATGAATTAAGACACTGTCACGTGACTTACAATAACCCAATTAGAGCAGCCATGTGACCCATGGTATCTGATAGCCACTAGATATTTTACCCAAATTATCTGTTTATGATTAGACATGTTCCTCTGCAACTGGAACATGTTAAGAACATTTATTACTTACTGCTGGCCACCTGCTAAGCTGGTAATCTGTGAAGCTGTTCTGATTTGGTGACTTTGGATCACACAACCAGGCAATTAAGACCACTTCTATGTAAAGGTTTTATGCCTGTAATGTCAGTATCAGTCATGCATCACACATGCACGTGATGCTGCTGCTATTTCTTCCACACAGTATATGCCAAGTGCTTTTGGAGTTTTCTCTTTTGACAATTGCAAATACAGCTCTTATTTGACAAGGAGGAAACTGAAGGCAAAGGGAAGTTACAGTACAGGAAGTTAGCATCCAGCAAGTCCAATACTACGTGCCCAACCTAACTCACCACACGCAACATGCATCAACCTCTAACCAGGCTGATTTCCAATGAAGCACACACAAGCCCGCTTACATCGGTGTTTCCACCTTGGTGCACACACAGTAACTCCATAAGAGCAACCACCTGGATGTGCCAAGGCACTATGCCCTTCAGTTTTTGCTTCTATTTTGATAGCACTATCTGCCCCTCTCACTCTAGCTCAGCATCGCTCCAACCTAGGATAAGATAATGGTAACATATGATACTTATCTCTGTAGACAAAGAGGAAAAAAAAGATGTCCCTAGTCTGGTCCTCAGAGTGTTCCTAGATCAGCCTGAAGTATTTTTGTGATTTCTATGTTTAAAATCCAAGCAGGTTTACTGCTTTACCTTCAGTTGACTTATGCCAGCTTGATGACAAGACTAAAGAACACGACCAAATGCCAGCTGGGGCAGATGTGGGGGTGTGTGAAATACTTCCTTGTGTCTATGCAGTGAGAGGGTCTAAACATGAAAAAGGGTTCTCTCATTTTACAGTTGTGGTCTTAAGCATCAGGTTTCATACTTCCCACAAACCATGCAAAATGTTCTGTTCTCACATGGCTCGCAAACAGCACTAAAGCAGGCACAGCTATATCTGACGTCTTGGCACGATGTAACAACAAAACCATTTCAGATGTTAAACCTTTAAGTGTGACACAGGGGCACAGTTCAGCCAAGGACACAGCCTGTGCAAAGCAGCACATCACACAGGCCAGGAATAATACACTGACTTACTTCATTTGGTGTTCAGTATTACTCCTTGGTAACTAACAGGATATGACTCAGTTATTAGGAGACGTCACAGCTTCCTCTACAGTTGTACAGCCCTGTTTCAAGTCTGCTTCCTTGTTTCAAGATGGTTTCATCAGCAGCTTTGTCCACATCACAGAGTCAGGTTTCTTATACTTAGTCCTAACTGCCTCCCACCCTTCCACTTATCCATGTTTCTTCACATTCAGAGATTTTTTTTCCCCTTTTCAGCATTGTTTTCAGCAAATATCAGAATGTGATTGCTTGGTTGGTAATTCAACAGAGGTATCAAACTTGGCAGAACAAAAAACTCTGCAGCAGTAAGGTGCCACTTGCTTCCACATCACTGTGCCTTTTGAGAATCTTTAAATGGATTATCTGCATCAGCAGGCTCCAAAGTGGGTGTGTACAAGGCAATCCATTGTGGTGCAGAAAAAAAATATTTTTGCACCATTAATAAAATTTAAAAATTAAAAACACTGCTTATTTCATCCCTATAATTTTTAAATTTTTATGCATATTTTAGAATGCATATAATAATTATGGTAGTAATCATATATAATTTATAAATAAATATGTATAAATTGTGCGTATATGTTCAAAGTATTTTATTGATGTGGTGCACCATCAAAAAAGTTTGGGGACATTGATCTACAACACAAAAAGCAGAAACCAGTATGAGATACTCATAGTTATACCATTCAAATAAGGACTGTATGACAGATAAAACAACATCTTTCCTTTTCCTTCCAGGAAAGAAAAATCATTCACAGTCAATCTGCAAACTTAACTTCTTAACAAATAAAAATGCTTTGATACACACTAGTTTATAGTACACATTTTTTAAAAACTTCTTAAATTTTCTTTTCCAACATTTAAGTCAGATAAAAAAATTTCAAAAGAAGAAGTTTCTGGTGTCTCAGTTAATCAGTTTGGAGACAAAACCAATCTCAAGTTGGAAGGCATCTGTAAGGATCATGAAGTCCAACTCCCTGCTTCTCTTGGGACTACCTAAAACTAAACCACATGACTAAGAGAGCAATGACTACACTCTAATTTTGGCTTCCAAAGCACCTGGTAGCGTAGCAGAAAATCACACTGAAGACTTATCTGTAAAAAATCCAAAATTCCTATCTGTGAAACAGGAAGTTTCCAGACAGATGAGTTGAAGCTATAGCATGGTGCTAGATCTCAAAGTCTTTGATCCTTGTGACAGCCAGGTGGTAAACATAGAAGTAATTTCCTCAACCTGGCAGATTCAATGGTAGCATGGAGAAGTGAAATCATCTGCCATCAATAACTGTGAATGTCTCAATTTCCCAAGGGTATAGTTGAAGTGCATGATCTGCTTAGAAGTAATTTCACTGCAGTTGTGTAAGATTTTTTCAGAAGTCCAAACCAAACCATTCTGTGATTCTAAGCAAAACTGTGCATAAATATGTAATAGAGCTTTCTCACTGCTGGTGTGTCTGCAAAGCTTACATGGACTAAGATGGTACTAAGAACCATTGCTGGACTTTGAATCCATCTATTGAGGGCAATAAACATACTGCCTTACTGACTCCTCAGACTATAAGCCTTTATCACTTCTTAAGGCATGGAATAAAGTCAAAGTGCAAGCATGAGCAAGAGGTGAGTTATTAATGAATATCAGCAACAGTCAATCCTGCAGTTTTAAACTGTGTCCTGCTCTGGGCCCCCCAACACAAGAAAAAACCTGGACCTGTTGGAACAAGTCCAGAGGAGGGCCACAAAGATGATCAAAGGGCTGGAACACCTCTCCCATGAAGACAGGCTGAGGGAGTTGGGGCTGTTCAGCCTGGAGAAGGGAAGTCTCTGGGGAGACCTTGTAGAAGCATTCCAGTATCTTCCAGCTTACAAGAAGGCCGGAGAAGGACTTTTCACAAAGGCACGGAGTGATAGGACAAGGGGGAATGGCCTTAAGCTCAAAGAGGGTAGGTTTAGATTAGATATTAGGAAGAAATTCTTTACTATGAGGGTGATGAGGCACTGGAACAGGTTGATCAAAGGGGCTGTGGATGCCCCATTCCTGAAGGTGACCAAGGCCAGGTTGGATGGGCCTCTGAGTAATCCATCTAGTGGAATGTTTCCTGCTCATGGCAGGGGGGCTGGCACTAGACGATCTTAAAGGTCCCTTCCAAACCAAACCATTCTGTGATTCTAAACTGGCTAAATTGGCCAGTCTTCTGTACACTTCCATCACAAACATCTGATTCCCTATCACATATCACACAGGGACATGCCACCACACACACACCACTTCCCTCCTACCAATTCTCACTCTTGTTTTCTACCTGAGTATAAAGGGGTCAGAGAATCATACACAGCCTGACCCAGCATTGCCACTCCCAACCTCTGTGCCAGCCAGAACACTCTTCCAAGACACAGGAAGCTTCACTCTCACATACCTTCTTAGCTGTGAGTGTTGTTCTGGTGCTCCTCATTTCCACCTTCTGCAACCTGCGTCAGTTCTGCAAGCACAAAGGCAATACTCAGACAATTCTGGCCCTCACAACACTCTGCCTCTCTGGCCCAGATGGATCAAGGATAATCTGATTGAGATCTGGGACATTCATTTGGCATGAATAATAACCCTGTCCGACATGCCCCATCCCCATGGGACCACCATTCAACACCTCCCCTCTCACCTCCATACTTGACTCTGCACTGTCTTCATGATCCTTTACAGATCCTGCGAAAGCCAAGCATGGGAGGCACTCAGCACCCATGGTGCCACCCATAACTGCACATCAGGAAGCACTAGGCAAAAGTCACAATGAACAAAGACTGTTCCACAGTACAGGCACTTACCGCCTTCATTTATGCTATAGCCATCTGCATGGTAGGCCAGCATGCTAATGTTCTCATTAAAGACGTATGCACAGAGGTCAGAAGACAACTACAGTCCCCTGCCTTGCTCAGCTTCAAGCTATGACTCTATTGCCTAAGACTGAGTTGCTAGTTACAACTCAACATATTGCCAACATCATCAGCTAACACCAAAAACCAACACTTTTCCCCCCAGGGCAGCTTCCCATCTCTGAACAGGCACTCACCTTCCTCAGTTACACCATCATCAACTGCACACTTGGATCTCAGGGTGCTGCTCTGCATGGCAGACAGTTCTGAAAAAGAGATCACAGTAGAGGTACAGTTCTCAAGAGTATCTCACTGCTTAACTTCACAGTGGTGTCAGTCATTGCTTAGAGATGTGTGGAGGAGCAAGAATCAGAGTGGGAACGGTTCCAGGTGTGGAAAAAGATATACAGCAATTGAAAAAGGACTTTATTATATGGACTTTACAGTTATTATGTGGTTTTAAATATGTGCATTGTATGTTACCCCTGCAGTTGTAACTGCCCAGGCGTGCCCAGACATGCCTCTCCCTGCTTCCCTGCTTCTCCCTCTGATCGGCTGAAGAAGCTGCAGTGAGGAGAGAGCTACCATTCGTCCTTTCTTCCCAGTTCCTCCCCAGTTCCTCCCTCTTCTCCTGAGTCCCTACTCCTATTCGTTTCCCTGGTTGTCCGTCTCATGCTCCACCCCATTTTCTGGCCCTTTCTCCGCCAGAGCTTATATAAACCCTGCACACTTTCACTGCCATTGCACCTTCTACCTCGCTCGGACCTCTTTGTGCAGTGTCACGGTCCCACAGCCCTCCCCCTCGGACCGTGCCAGAGATGAGTCACCAGGTACAACTCATAAGACAAACAGAAACTCATAAGACAAACAACTCATAGGACAAACAGACAGGCCACTCAAGACCTTCTCCAATCAGGTCTTAAAAACCTTCAGTGGTAGAAACTCCATGATGACCCTGTGTAGACTGTCCTAGTGATTAGTTATACTTAGAGACAGAAATCTTTTTCATCATATCCACACAGAATCTCTACTGCTTCAATTTTGGACCATCACCTTGATACCCTGCTTAATACACTTTAGTAAACACGGTGGCTCAGCCTTCTTATCAACATCCCCATAGGTATTGGCAGTGCTGTTAAGTAGCCTGAAAGCCTGCTCTTCTCTGGGGTTGAACAAGCTCAATTTCTTCAGCCTCCTCTCAGAGGAGGAATTGTGCTCCAGACTGGTGGCACTCTTCCAGCACTGGGTGGGCCACAAACTAGATGCAATACTTCACAAGTGACATCTAGCAAGTGACAAGTGAAAATAACCACTTTCTTCAATCCACTGGCACTCCTTAGAACAGCCTAGGATGCTCTCAGCCTTCTCTGCTTCCAGGGAGCACTGTTGACTCATTGTGTACTGTCCATTCGGACTCACAGGTACCTTTTAGCAGAGCTGCTCCTCAGCCTGCACGAGTGTAGGGTGTTGGTCCATCCAAGTGCAGGACTTTGTGTGGCTCCTGAAGAATTTCCTAAGGTTTACACAGCCCTTACTCTGCCCTTATACTGACTGACTGCACTGCACACTTTGCTGTCATCTATAAACTCCATGACACTGTTTTCTCTCCCTTGTCCAGATCACCAAAATATACAGACCTCTGCAGTATTCCACTTGCCACTGGCATCCATGTAGAGTACAAACCATTAACCATGACCTGCAGGCTTGAGAAGCTGGCAATTTTTCTACCCATGTAGATAGACGTCACTTCAGACTAGGATATCCCAGCTTAGGACTCCAACAATGCTGGGGACACTGCATAAAAAGCCTTGCTAAAGTCAAGGTATATGACACCCACTGTTCTTCCCTCATCTGCAAATCTAGTAATTTCATCCACAAAAGGCTGACAACTTGGACATCTGCAACTTACACGTACTCCCCAATCTCCAGCTTTCTTCTCTGACCAGAAACACATTGCAAGAAAATTTGTCCCAGGATTCTCCCAGGGATGAAAGTGAGCCTGACTGACCTTCATCATTAATGAAGATGTTAAAGAGGACTGGACCCAGTATGGACCTCTGAAGCACACTACTATATACTGGTCTCCAACTAGACTTCATACCAGTGATCACATCCCTCTGAACTCAGCAACCCAGCCAGTTTTCAGTCCAACTCACTGTCTGCTCACCTAGCCTATACTTCATCAGCATTAGAGAGCTCGAAATCAATCTCCTGGTCAACAAAGGCCCACATTTTTGTTGTTTATTCTTTTAAAGACAACTTAACAGCAGATGTTCTCATTATAATGGACATTCCATAGTGGTTTCAAGCCTCCCTGAGCTCTGGCTTTCCTAATATCCTGCTTACCTGCCTAGGTAGTCTTCCTGAATTCATTCCTCCACTGTAGTCTGTCCCTGCCTTCACATTAAGCATAAGCAATTTTTGCACTGGAACCCTGTCAGGAGCTCCCTGATTAGCCAAGATGATTTTCTGATTTTCCTGTTTTCCTGACCATCAGCATGGCCTGTGCTCATGCTTGGAGAAAGTCCTCCTTAAAGGCTTGATAGCTCTCTTGAGCTCCTTTGCTCTTCAGAACTATCTCCCACAAGATCCTGCCTACTCTTTTCCTAAATAAGTGGAAATCTGCTCTCTGTAAGCACAGGGCCTGTACTCTGATGTTCACTTTCTCCACTCCTCTCAGTATCTGGAGCTGTTTCTTGGTCACTACAGCCAAGGCAGCCATTTGTGACCAATCCCCATCCAATCCTTCTCTGCAAATGAGTAGCAGATACAGCTGTACCCCACCCCTTGCTAGCACACGCAGTATCCTGTGTGAAGTTGTCCCTGATGCTGCTCAGAAATCTTCCTGACAGCTTGAATTGTTGTGTTGCCTTTCCAGCAGATGTCAGGGAGGTTGAAGACAGACAGACACAGAGAGTACTGTTTTCCACCAGACACAGTGAAGGACAGCCTGACTACATTTCACAAAGCAATCTCTCCAAATCAAGCTTCCCCTTGGCAAACCTTCCTCTTGGTTACATCAATTCCTGTTCCTCACTTAAGTGCTTCATGTGCACACACTGGAGAAATGAGGGCCTCCTTGCAGAGAACTCCCAACAGGCAGCATTAAACAGAAGCCAGCCCTTAGCAGGGACTGTCACTTGATCTGTATTCTCATCTCACTCTGACTGGGATTATTTTTTTTTATTTCTTTTTTTAAATCTCAATCATCTCCCAAGTATACACCCTTCAAGTCCTTATGCTCTGCTAGGGTTATTTCTAAAGGTGATAAAAATACAGGAGTCACTCTGACCTTAACTACAGCCTGAAAGCTGGTTAACTCTTCTCCTGAAACTACACAGTGTTCATGGCACAATCCCACCCAATACTTCCACTAGGAAGCATTATATAGAAGTCACTCTGAGCCTTCAACTCCAAGCTGACAACAAATACCAAACTGGGAGGAGCTGTCAACTCCTCAAGGGCAGGGAGGGTTAGGGCTAGGGTTAAGGACAATGCTCTCAGGCACTTGGTGCGACTCTTGGGGTGTCCTGTGCAGGGCCAGGAGTTGGACTCCATGATCCTGATGGGTCCCTTCCAAATCAGTATATTCTGTGATTCTATGATGGGATCCTGGCCTCTTTGCCTACTGGGTCAGTATCACTGACTGCTCCATAGAACAGGCACTTACCTTCCTTATTTACACCATTGTTAACTGTCTGCTCGTTTTTCAGGGCGCTGTCCTCCTTGTTCAATTCTCTGTCTGAAAAGAGATCAGAGTATAGCTTCAGTCCCTCAGGAGCACACTCCATTGCTTTTCCCCCTCACCAGCACAGGTCACTGCCCTGTGCTGCCCAGGGCTCAGCAGTTGCTATCAGCAGAAGGTCTGTTTAAAATTTCTTTGTACACACACTTCAGAGAACATCATAGCCTTGCCTACTATTTCCCATCAGTAGAGCAGTGACTGCCTGTTACTTAAGTGCTGCAGGGTGTCCTGTGCAGAGGTGCACTAATTCCCCTTCATGATGTTCCCACTATATAGTGCTACAAAATAAAGTATTTTATTTTCTTTAATTCCTCTAGTGTCCAAACTGACAACCTTTATCTATGGATCTGATTCTCTTTTGCCTGAACTGTATGTTTCCCTCCTTTCTACTTTAAGACAGGCATAAAATAAACCTCCTTCTCCTATATCCACGTCTATGTATGTAGAAAAAGTTACACAAGTGATAAGACAATCCCACAGTGCACCACACCTTCACCATCAGCTACACAATCCCTGTTTCTTCATATGAAGAAAGCTGTTCTACACCCATTACAACTCATGCAGGGAGAATAAGCAGCAAAACCCAGGGGGTTCTGGGTTTCCTTTTCCTTACTGTCAGCATTAGGGATTTTTTCATTAATAGGAAAAAATTCTGCCTTCTCCAACCCCCTTATTATCAGCTACTTGTGGAAAATGGTGGAAGAGTTAGTGAGTGAATGAATCAGTAGTGCAACAGACTGGGAAAAAACCCACATTTTTTTTTCTGACTTGAGCAATAATGATCAATTTCCCTAACCTTTCTGAGTAAAAAGAACTTTTAGAAAAAATACAGGTCTCCAAATTTCCTTGAAATTTACACTGACTGTATTAAGAAAACAAAACTGGAGTTTTGCTTAACTGCCAGATGAATGAAGTCAAAAGACTGTCCTAGAGCATAAAAAAGCAAGTGGAAGATACTGCATCTAAAAATGGTGCTTCTCTAAGGAAAGAAGCCTGCTGTAAATCCCAAATAAGAATTTTGCAAGTTTGGAAGCATCCCATCTCTAAATTGGTGTGCTGATCTATTTGCCATCAACACAAAGCTTTGAAGCCGGAGCATTTTATTGTCTCAGGTCCTGTTTGAGGGTTTTTTTCCATCAGAAAGCAAAGCCCACCTACTCATCATGATATCCTATGAAAATACCCTTGCACTCTTTTGCCTGCAAATAAAAGGTGACATTAGACAAAAGGGTAATTTGCTTATTTACTATAAAAAGGGGTTCCCTCATATACGCTTAGTTCTTCCCACAGTGGAAGTGGTGAGGTGGTTTCCAAACACAGCATGCAGCATCAGTCTCATCGTATCAAAAGGGAAGGTGAAGCCCCAAGAAGGTATTTGCTTTGTGCTGTTTACCAAACACAAGGTTCCAGGTCTTTTTGACTTCTCATCTAGTGATCTACCCATCCACATTTACTGTTCCTAAGACAACAGGTTCTTCTAGGCCAACAGGGGAATGGTAAACTCTATACTGAGAACATGCTAGTATGTTTAGGACTGCAAAAGGCCATGTACAAAATTATTTCCTCCCTCCAAGTTCTCCTGTTTTAGGGCATCATCTCACTTGTTACCTGCTTCAGGTCTTTCATTCTCACAATGAACAGGCTGTGAAAATATAGCTGCAAGGAAACAGAAATCCTTTTTAGAAATATGTATGGAGACAGCACAGTAGTCTGCAAAACGTGCAACTCAGTCTTAAAGCGAAAACTTCATTATAACACTTTTAGCAGATACTTCTGAGAACCAGTATGTTATGCCACCTAAAGGACTCACAATTAATTTCAACTTTCCTCCAGCAACCACTTAAGGTCCCAGACCATGACCAACATTGTCTATACTTATGCCTACAGCTTTACAAAATCTTTCTCAAGTCAGTTTACTTAAGGTGATAAAGCTGCAGATTTGCCATAAAAAGCCAGAGAGAAGAGAATATGCATTTGCTTTTTTACTTCATTTATGTGTTGCACTAACGCTGTGACTTTAAACTCTTTCTCTCTGTAGAACTTAAAGAACCTCTAATAGGAACATTCTAAAGCAAATTTAAGTGCAGTACCAAAATGAGGGGGTTTGGGGGGCTTGGGTTTTTCTTTTTTAACCTTCAGATTCACCCATAGTCTCTAGACTTTAGTGATCTCTGAACCATGGGCTAGAACCACAGCTTTAACAAATGTTTGAGGATATCAAATGAAGTTTTTTACTAAAAATTCTGCTAAACAGCTCATAAGAGAGGTAGAAAGGGAGGACAAAATCCCAAACAAACCCAACGACAAAAAAAAATCCAAGCCCTTGCTTTCATAGTGCTACCTCTCTACCTGTAGCAGCTTTTCCAGGCTCTTCACCATCACATTTTTTAAATCTCCAAACTATAAAAGCATTAAGAAACTTCGGAAATTAAATTAAAGAACAAATCAAGAAATTAAATCAAATATAAAGAAAATCTCTGCAAAGCGACACAGTAGTTTGCAATTCAAGAAACATCCTGCTCCAGGATGCTGACTGCAGCAGCTCATGTGAGATACCAGACCGAGTATCCCACATGAAGACACTGTTAATTCAACACCAGAACACTCCAACAGGGCACTTGACCCTGCACCTGATGGTGGGAGCTTTGACTATTCCCCACTGAAACAGTGTTTGGTCTTGTAATAAAGTGTTTTTCAATAGTCTTCCCCTGTTCTCCCTAATCTGCTTAACTGTTTTGGGGTTTAATTTAGTTTAGTTCCTAAAAACAGACCACAGGTCCTGGCAACAAGAGTCATACAGGTTAAAGGTGGAGCACGTTAGCCAAATTCACCCTTGTGAAAGGAGCACAGACTAAAGGAGTTGTCCCCTTCCTTCTCTGCTCACCGTATGGAGCAATTTCCATACTCCAACACATAGACCCAGAAGCCAGAGAACAGAATAATATTGCAGCAAATAAAAAGCGAAATAAAAAACAAACAAACAAACAAACAAACAAACAAAAACACCCAAACAAAACACCAAGGAAAAAAACAAACAAAAAAACCCAATGCAGGTTAGAATGGACAGCAGAAGCTCAAGTGAAGATCTGGGCAGGAAGACAGGAATGCAGACCACTGAGACTCTGTACTGCCTGGGGAACAGACTGGCAACTAACAGAGGTGAAAAGTTCCTCCACTGACTGTCTCCTTCCCTCATCTGGCTGTTACAAGAAGAAGGCAGGCCTGCAAAATGGAGTAAGAGTCAATCAAACATACTGCTAAAAGATTTTTTTTCTGAAACAACTGCAAGGGGTTAGAGAAGGCAAAGGAGACAACTGCAGCTTGACCCAATGGGTGCAAGCATGCTCCAGAATCACACACCAAAAGCAAGGACCATAGTTCTGCACACCAGACTAACAACGTGCCAAGCTAAATTAACAGCAAACTCCTGCTAGTCTTATTTGATAAGACATTTCCATGGGGAACACTGGGAATAAGCAATGCATCACATTCATATTCAGCCCTAAACACTTGATATGAATACTTAGAAAAGTTTAGGAAAATAATTAACCAAATTTCTCAAAGAATTTTGTATCACAGAATATGCTGAGTTGGAAGGGACCCACAAAGATGATTGAGTCCAACCCTTAGACCTGCACAGGACCATCCCCAAAAGTCTGAGAGTATCATCCAAACACTTCTTGAACTCTGTCAGGCTTGGTGCTATGACCACTTCCCTGGGGAACCTGTTCCAGTGCCCAAACATCCTCTGGGTGAAGAACTCTTTTCTAATATCCAACCTAAACCTCCCCTGACACAACTTCAGGCCATTCCCTCAGGCCTTGTCACTGGTCACCACAGAGAAGAGATCAGTGCCTGTCCCTCCTCTTCCCCTCACGAGGAAGTTCTAGACTGCACAAGCATGTAAGAATAAAAGAGACAGATAATATTAACCTCATTTCAGCATGTAAATCAGCCCCAGTTCTTCACTGTTTGAGAGGAAATTCATCTCCAAAGACAGCTGCTGACCAGGGAAATCTGAGGTGATTCACTGTCTGTAACTCTGCCAGCCCCACTAACACATTCACTAAGTGCAGGTTCCTATAATTATCCCATATTGGACCTCAGCTGAGACTTTGAGTCTACATGTGCCCACACTGAAAATCAATTCAAAAGCTTAGATCCTGCAAAGAAGAAAAGAGCAAATCAGAGTCCCTGCTCCAAACAACAGCAGATGTCCAAAAACATTAATACAGCAATACAGGTTTCTTACCTGTGTCTGAGTTATGCTGTTCCTGGCTGTCCATAGAGAAAAGTTGCTCACATTCTCCTATAATGAAATTTATTTATTTTAGAAAGTATGCACTAGTCACTAGAAAAAAATAAGTATACTCTAAGAAAACTTACTCCTTTACCTCTCTCAATGAAAGACTATACTGACACAGAATAAAAACTGACAAGCCTAGACCAAATGAAAGCAACGATCTGATTTCCAGACATCTGTGACACTGTCTTACCTGAGCCATGCACTGGACTGTTCTTCTGAGCTACTCTTCCTCTTTCGAATTTATCTCTACCTGCACCCAAACAAACAGAACATCTGGAGAAATGACTCAGAAATAAAGTTTCTTTGGAAACTCACTGACAGCCTCCATTCATTCCATCCCCTCCCCTATCCCCAAACCAAAAAAAGAAAAAAAAAATTCACTGAGAACATGCAACTGAATACTTGACTTGGACAAAGAATGAAATATAGTTTTGGGGCAAAGACAATTAGTAAAAGATAAACAGAATGGGCCTCTTGCAACAAGTCAGAACACATCTAATCAAATCTAAGGTAGAGCTTAATTTATGATTCTGAGTCTTGTACTTAAATCAGCAAATCTCTTTTGCTGTTACCTGCGCACTGCTTATCCTACCAAGGTATAACAAGTTTCTTTTCTAGCATATTCAAACCTTCATTGTTTCAAGGGAAGTAACAGAATTGTTTTGATTCTATCTGATGGCCAGTTACAAGCAATTAAACGCATGCTGAAAGAGACTGGGGAATTTCCATCCTTGGAACTATTCAAAGTTTGCCTGGGCAAGGCCTTAAGCAACCTGATCTAACTTTGAAGTTAGTCGTGCTTTGAGCAGTAAGTTGGATGAAATTTCCAGAGATATCTTCCAACCTAGTTTATGATTCCATGCCAACTAAATGGAGAATGAGCAGGAAAACATAAGGCCCACGTACAACATATATATCTCTTTAAGTTCTGATCAGAGCCTTCCTCAAGAATATCATCAATTAGTCCTTCCCCACACTCCTCACCCTACAGCCACCCCATCTGGAAGCCAACAGGAATTTTCCATGCAGAGCATGCATAGGATGAAGAAATGTATTCCTGTTTGCAACCCTCTCAAACACAAAGAGGTGTGTACCTCTTTTTCAAACCAGAAGACAATCTGACACATTAACCCAAAAAGGTGGCAGCAGGAGATACGGAACTCCAAGATGATGGCAACACTGTTGGTGTATTGAAATTGTGTGAACAACTTCCACTGCATTTCCATGAGTATTGCCTTGGCATATTTGGGTGTGAACAGTAAAACTAACTGCGTTACTTAAAATGGCTTCAGCCTTGAGGCTCGAACAAAAGAGGCTTTCTGCCAAAGTCAAGGAGGAGTTTTTGGCAGGTGAACAAGTTTTCTCATCTCCTATGGACACCTGTTGTTATCCAATTAGCACTGTACAACAAAGTATGTTTTCCTTATGTATCCAGTCTTGTGTGAACAAGAAACACATGTCTGAGTGTCATAAGCAGTATATAAGATGTCTTTCTTCTAATAAAGCGGACATTTTGCCAATCATAACGATCTGTGAGCATCTGTCCATACCCCTCCATCAATACAACACAGGCTGACAGGAGGCACAGAAGTCCCCATTTATCAGCTGATCACACTGAGTTGTCAGATTAGACTCAGTATTCAACAGGCCGTGGTGTAAGCCTGTCCTAACAATAAACCTGATCTTGAGGGCAGCTTTACGATGCGCTCAAAAACGGCTGTCAAAACACTCTCAGGTAGGAACAGGAGAGGCTACAAACACTTGGTAAGTAGAAACAAACATTAAATGAAACACCCAGTCTGAAGGAGAAATATGCAAATGCAAACTGCAGTGTTTCCCAGCACTCAGAGCCCAGTGCCCAAATGCAAGGAAGTTCAGTACATCGTTTCCTTCAAATCTACTAGCCTTTGCCTAAACTGTACTTGTTTCTATTACTGTTTTTACAAAATATCCCGTGGTTAGAAACTTTCATATGTTCCACAGTTCCTTAGATGAGCATAATCTTGAAGCACGTAAAACTCAAATAGGAAATGCTCTACATACCTCTTGTGCGTAGGAATACTAGGATTCCCAGAAGCAGCATAAAGAGGAAAAAAAGCACAATAAGAATAATTCTGTTTCTTTTGTGAGAGCCATATCCTTTAAAAAAAAATAAAAATGATTGGTTATTTATAAAGCAACAGTTCAGTAGAAACGCAACCCTGAGTACGTTTTATAGCCTATTTGTTTTTTAAAAAGTAGCCTCAATAAATTAATGCACAAGAGTCAGTTAGTAGCAAAACCCTAAGCCAACTCCAGCACAGTTATGTGTTAAGTACCTCAGTTCAGTGAAGGCACATCACCCCTTGAAAGGCAATGGCTATTCCATTTTTTGGCATATGAAAGTCAGAGCCAGATTTCAGCCAAATGAAATTTCAGCAAATATCTTGTATTTGGTTTGTGTGGCAAGGTTTTGATGGCTTCTGTGATTAGATGCCAGAAGCTGCCCCCATGCTGGATGGAGCCAATGCCGGCTGGCTCCAAGATGGATCTGTTGCTGGTCAAGGCAGAGCCCACTAGTGACCGTGGTAGTGTCTCTGGGATAACACATCTAAGAAAGGGGGAAAACTGCTAGACAATAGCAGCAGGGAAAGAGGACTGAGAATATGTGATAGAAACAGCCCTGCAGACATCAGGGTCAGTGGAGAAGGAGGGGTAGGAGGTGCTCCAGTCGCCGGAGCAGAGATTCCCCTGTAGCCCATGATGCCCCAGAGTGAGGCAGGTTGTCCCCCTTCAGCCCTTGGAGATCCACAGGGAAGCAGAGATCTACCTGCAGCCCATGGAGGACTCCACATTGGAATGGGTGGATGCCTGAAGGATGCTGTGACCCCATGGGAAGCCCATGCTGGAGCAGGCTCCTCGCAGAACCTGTGGCCCCATGGAGAGAGGAGCCCACACTGGAGCATTTTTGCTGGCAGGACTTGTGACCCTGTGGGGGATCCACACAGGAGCAATTTGTGAAGAACTGTAGCCCTTGGGAAGGACTCACATTGGAAAAGTTCAGGGAGGACTGTCTCCCATGAGAGGGATGCCACATTGGAGCAGGGGAAGAGTGTGAGGAGTTCTTCCCCTGAGGAGGAAGGAGCAGCAGAGACAACGTGTGATGAGCTGACTGCAACTCCCATCCCCCTGCGCAGCTCAGGGTGGGAAGGTAGAGATATTGGGAGTGAAACTGAGTCTGGGAATAAGGGAGGGGTTTGGGGGAAGTGTTTTAGACTTGTTCTTGTTTTTCCATTATCCTACTCTGATTTTGATTGACAATAAATAAATTAATTTTTCCAAAGTTGAGTCTGTTTTGCCTGTGACAGTAATGGCTGAATGATCTCTCCCTGTCCTTACCTCAACCCATGAGGCTTTTGTCCTGCTTTTCCCCCCCTTCCTGCAGAGGAGAGGGAGTGACAGAGCAGCCTGAAGGGCACCTGGCAGCCAACCAAGGTCAACCCACCACATGTCTCATTTCTAACAAGTTTCTAACACAGAACTCCAGTGAAGGAAGAAGAATTCTACACCAGTAAACCACGAAAATTACTTTTGCACAGAAATGAGAAACTGTGTCAGTTAGGGACTGCTTTACACACCCTACAAAAGAGATGATTCCAAACATGTTCTAACTCTGTTTAAAAAAGAAAAAAACACAAGCCTCAAGTTGAAGGTTTTCCCAAAGCTATAAGCAACAGGAGGAAAACTCTTTCTTCTAATTTTGATATCTCTCTGTGAAGGGGGAAAGAAGTATGTTCATTGATTCATGCAGATGATGCTAGATGAGACATTATTTTATCTAATGCTGCTAGATAACTCACTTGAAATGACTGAACAGTTTCACTCCAATTCATGGAGAGTAGTACATAGAGCACAAGTCATCAGCATTAGTTACAGGAGACCAGAAGGTTCAAAAGAGATCTTTTAAGTTGGTCTCCTATTATTACTCAGTCCAGTTATTGGTGGGGATCAAACTGTCAATCTCATACCTTCCATCAACCTTATACACACTTTTAGCAGACAAATCACTTCTGATGCTTTTTACTTTTTAAATCCAACTCCCCTAGAAGTCAGGAGAAATCTTACAAAGTTCATGCTGCTTCCCATCCAAGCCTCTCAGACCTGTGTTTGCAACCTGACACATTCATTACCTTCTTCATCTGAAATGCACTGAATCAAAGAGATTTCAGAGCTTCTTTCCGTTTGTGAGAATGTAATGAAACACGTAGCATTCTTGGTAGCGTCAATATTCTTTATAGGGATGGAAAATTCCTGGCTCCAATGGCTGCGTGGATCGTTACTGAGCTTCCAAGTGTAATTCACAGGCCTCTGGAAATCTGATGTACAGTTTAACACAAGGTTATCACCCTTGATGCTGTAATTTATTTTAGGTTCTGAAGGGGGATCTAAAAGGAGAGAAAAAACATTGAGTTTAGTTATAAACTGCCTTGAATTTTAGCACAGTACAAGGGTTGGAGCAACAAAAGCAGCAGAAGAGTGCAGAGACAAAAGTGTTCATGTAAGGTTTGTGTGTGCACATGCACACATGAGCACGAGAGAAATGTGTTTCTAAAAGGAACCTGTAAACCACCTCCTTGGGGTTCTTTGATGCCTAGTTCAAGCCTTCTCATGGCTCACTGTCAATAGGACTAATATACCCACTGGTCAAACATATTTGCCAAAGAGTGCTAGTGAAGATGAGTAGATGGGCACAGGATGATGCCACAGATATTCAAGCACATAATGCCTGGGATAACATGGTCAGCTTGCTCAAAGGGTTTGGTTGTCTACCTGGAAGTACTGCGTGCCATCTACGCACACTAACAGTCATTCCATGGTGAGTAATGATTGGCACACAAATTAGATGCCACCTTTGAAAATATGTTCAAAGTGCCTAAGCAACTTAACACCAGAGCCAAAGAACAGCCCCCCATTGTTTCTATTTGCTTTGTTGAGAAATAAACAATCCTCTTTCTAGATTTTTTAAAGTGAATGAAGTGGTGCACGTTCTTTATGCAGTTCTTCCTCTACTTACCTAATACCTCAAGAATGAATTCTAAAAAACCATCTTTCCCAGAAGTCTGGTAGACTAACTCATATGTGCCAGCATCACTCTTCTCCAAGTTAAATATAGTCAAATTCCCATTCTCCTTAAGCACACTCCTGCCTCGGAGATGAGTTAAATATGTCGGTGGGTTTTGCCCATCCCATTCAGCCACTATATCCTTGTTTTTGTTCCAAGTAATATCCTCTATTCTTTGCTTTATGTCTACTGGAAAAGTAAAATTTTCTCCCACAATGCCAGACAACACATCCTCAGCGTAGATGAGCGCTACAAGAGAAAAAAAAAACAAGTTACTTTAACAATTGTTTTATAAAATACTGCTTGACTAACACTGTATGCAGTATAAGACACATTCAAATTTAGATTAAAATCACATCACAATGTTGCAAACTAAGGCATGTGTTAGTTTAGAATTACCCAAACAAGGTTGTCAGCACAATCATATGACAGGCACTACAAAGGGATCCAATTTCCACATTCTGGTCCCAGGTAGAATCATTGTCCTGATCTTCTTCCCTATCCTAAGACCCTCTATCCTCAGTACTTTCCCTCTGTTCACCTGAAATGGGTCTCCTACCCATGGTCTGGTGAAAAAGATGAAACTGTCGCCAGTAAAATCTATTTTAGCATCTTGTTGCAGAACACCCAGACTGAAGTTCCCTAGGAGTAAATAAACAAATTTTTCCATCATGAATATTCACAGTTATTAAAAAGCACACTTCTGACATAAAATTGCTACTCAGTTCAAAGCACCTGCTCTGAAATCATGGAGGTATTAGGGATTTCCCTTGGAAATGTCACTTAAACAAACTTATTTCACAGACGACATATGTGAAATAACATCCAAACCTCTGAGATCTAGCAGAGCTGTCAGCAAGAAATGGAGCTGTCCAGAAACCTGAACTGCTAAAAAGGCCCAGATATTCAATGTAATTAAACACATAAGAACAGAAGAGGAATAAGAGATTTTCCCTAATTTTTATTAAAAACAGCTACATTTATAAGAAAAAAAAATCTACTGATGTAACAAACAAAATTTTGCTGTGGGGAGGGGATACTGTAAACCATTAGCATCTCTGCATCCTTGCTTCTGTCTTCAGGAATCAACTTCCAAATAGCTCTAAAACAACCACAAGATTACTGCCACGGCAGACATTTATGTGGACATAGACAAAAACATGTTGGTACCGAGTTCAAGTTACACTTGCATTAAAGACTCTATTCCAGAGACTACAGCTGGTAGCTGGTAATTTTTTACTACTAAGTTGAAGGAAGGGCATGATTAAGTTATAAATGAGGTCTCATATTAAGGCGAAATTCCCAATACACACCATGTAAAACTTCCCTTTAAATAGTAACTGTGCATGATGAAACAGAAATACTTCTACTCCTCAAGCCAACCGGTTGCAAGTGACAGCTACTATTTCGAGTTTGTTTCGGTTTTGATTTTTTTATTTATTTGTTCGTCAAAGGCATCAAGTTAAGAACCCACTAATTCTTGTATCATTCCAGACTTCCCTTGCTTCTGGTGCCATCATTGTTACCTCAATGTTACATCATTACTACTGTTCACAAATCAGTGTGGATACGACAGCTTTATCACACCAAGTCACTTCCCTTCACTGTGTACAAGTCCAGAAAACAAACTATAAGCCATCTTGCTCCACGTCCTATCTCCTTTCCATATGAAAGCAGACAGAAGGTCCTTTCCCATCAGCAAAGAACAGTGCTAGTCAGTGTACTGTGTCAGCAGCTCCTCTGCTTGCTGCCAGACCAGAGAATCAAGGACTTTCTCAGACAGGATACTGAAGCAATGAGAAACACACTTCTGTGTGTGTGCAGTTCTCTACCCAAGCACACAGGTCTTCTCCATGCCTTACTTTTTATGGAATATCCAATTTGTTTGCAGTTTACCCATGGAAGTACTCTTCTTGTGCCATTACAGGTGCTACTTCTTGATGTCTGCACTGGAGGTCTTTTCCAGGCACAGGAAATGTAAAAGCAAACAGGGTAAGCTCTCACTCCCACATCTTTTCAACACAACCTACGTGCTTTCTTTGTCTTCTATCCTGTTCAGGCAGATTTAAACATCTCACTTGCTCCCACTGCCCCAGTAGGAGCATCTCTTTCCACTCATCTCAATTAACGATTTCCAGAAAAGAAAAGAACACAGGGAAGCTCCAACACTTGTGTGAAGACCACAGGAAAGCAAGATGCTGGGCAGGGTGGAACACTGTTTTGATCTGATGAAGCTTGAAGTCTTGTTAGAGACTTTTGTTTCATAAAGACAATTTCTAGGAGCGTTTATTTCTCAACAAGTCATCTCTCACTGCCTAAGGACCTACAGTATTCCTAGCATGGAGGAAAACTCCCTGCTCTACCCACTGCAAAATTCTACCTCTCGGCATCTTCGGCTCACAGACACAAACAAGCTGTGGTGGCTTAATATCAGCATGCATAAGCCAAGCTGTGGTGGCTGCTGACAAGAGCAAGGTGACATGACTTCCTGAAGGAAAGGAAGCAGCCATTTGCTGGGGACTAAGAACACAAGCAAGGACAGCCACCACTGCTCAGCCAACCGCTAATAACTTCCTAAGCTTGGGGGTCGATCCAGGTAAACTCTCCACATCTTTACTCCCTTTAAGTTAGTCATAAGAGCTAGGCTGAAGGTATAAGGGAAAACCTGTTGCTCCTTCAAGCCCAGAAGTGAGAAAGAAATGAGAAAGCAGAGTTGAAAAGAAAACACATTTTCTCTCCACAGGTTCTGCTTGGCACAGGGGAGCACTGCTCTCTTCAGCACACTCTCCTCTCGCTCACTGATGAAACGAAGGTCTCACAGCAAGGAGCTGAAGAGTTCCTGCCTAAGGAAACTCGAGGCTTCCAGCAGCAGAACAACAAAAAGTTTACTCTTCGGATAACCGTCATCTCCTGCCATCTAAAAATGTCCAAATTTTATTGGACATTTTGGTTTTATTTATATTGGTTTTATTTCCCTGTTTTATTGGTCTAGTGAAAATGTAAAGAAATCTCCCACTCAATCTGTCAGCTTCCTTTTTTTCAAGGAAATCATACAGAAATGTTGCATAAGGTCACAACCACGTCTCTTTGAGCTTCTGAAGAAAGCATGTGTCATGATATGTTTTCTAAATTTCCAAGGAACCCTTCCCCCTCTTTTCTACGTAATTTTATATGGAAATAGATTTCACAGCAGTTTGCTTCTCTAGTGTGAGTAAAGAGGGAGAAATGACAGCCAAACACTCTCTCATACAATCTTTTTGGAAGGCTAGAAATAAGAATCATGTTTCTTTGCTTTCTCCCTCTCTCCTTATTGTACCTGTTATTCCAACATAAAGTTTACACAACAAAGTAGTAGGGTGCTAAGGCCTTCAGTAGCCTCTACAGAAACCATCAGACCACCTGCTCCTTTATTTCCTAAAACCCACTCCAAATTCCTTCTTATGCCAAGCCTTTTTGTTCTTCCCTTCCAAATAAATCACATGATGAAAGTGCCACAGATAAAGAGAAGGTAACATTGTGTGGGCAAAGCCTCTTCTGCAAACCCATCACCTCATCTTGTCTACATCATCTTCTGCTCCCACTTCTCCAGCAGCCAGACCCATGCAATCCAGTGTGCTGTACTTGAGTCTTAATATTCACCTGACTAATTCTGACTCTGAGCACTTAAGCAGGCTAAAGGTATCCATGTTGTGTTCAGACTAAGTAGAATTTAGTACTCCATTTATCAGCAATAAATACTTCATTACTATATTTGTCTACCTGGCTTGACTTTCTTCACTAGTTTTCTTGGAGCTGATGTAAGGCTTAGTCACTTTGGAGAAACGTCCGTAAGCTAATTCCCTTTTTATTTTTAATACTATCATTATTTTTTGGGGTTTCAAGTACCTATTTGAAATGCATATATGTCTATATTAGGTCTACAAAAGCAGCAGTTAGACTCTCCTATTACCATTAAGACACTAACATTCCACCTGCTAAAGCTGAGTGGAAAAGTCCTTACCGATTAACTTATAGCAAGGAACTGTTTGCCTCAGGAGATGGGCTTTTTAAATAGTGGATATTTGTTTTATTTTTTGTAACTTCCCAACTACCCCTTTTCTAGGCTTTTTTTGAAATTGTGAATTCCCCCAGCAACTGTAAGCAGCAGACAGTTATGTTCCCTCCTAACCCTCAAAACATCTCAACATGGATACTGATTGTGCAGCTCTGGCTTCTTAACCTTTAAAACTTTGACTCTTGATACAAAAGCAACTCTGAGGAGATGACTGTAAATAAACTTAATGTTAGAAGTACCCATTGGGCTGTATTTCCAAGTTGGAAAGAATATTCCTTTTTCTGAATGTAAATAATGGGCTCTTATTTTTGTGGCACCTTCTTGATTTGGGTGTTTTCCTTTTTCCAAAGCATTGCTTTAGGTTAGTTTCAGGTAAGTCTATTCATCCCAGAGTAACCAAACATCAACAAAAATATTCCATCTCTAGCAAGTCTGCCTGTTCATACACCAGGATAAAGGTGTGTGTACAGTGTCACAAGGGCCACACTAAAGGTAGCGGCAAGAGAAAAAGCTTCACAAAATTACTCCTCCATCAGAAGCAAGAGGAAATTTCTGATGTAACGGTCTAGATACACACAACATTATTAGCAAACATTGCCTACTCACAGTTCTCATCATCACCCTGGTTGAAGCAGAGTTTTCACTTTTGCTAAGCAAACCACATGCAGTTTGTTAGGCCGCTTCTTACTACCCATGTAGCACAAATTTGAGTTTCCATCACTCCTATCATTCACATATCAATGCAGCCTTAAAATCCAAGTACTTTAGCTTTGTATATTCCTTCTACTGCCTGAGTCCCCAGAAACTACCTCTGAGCAGTATTATGACTTTATTAGTAATTATTCAGTCACAAATTATTCTGATTTAATTATTGATTTAACCGGTCTTATTATAGAAGAAAGATTGATCCCTGCCTTACAAGAGTCTTTCTTACTTGGTTCTACAGTGGGGAAACTTCATCTATTCTGTGGCAGCCTGAGTCTATCAGGGCAGTCTGTACTACCAGGGCAGTACAAGGAACTCAACACACAGAGAGGGAGTTACTGCAGGACCATAGTATCCAAATCTTCTTTTGCTGTGGAGGCACTATATGGGACATTGATGGGAAGAGAACATGTAAAAACACACCTGTATGTTCCATAACACAGACAAATTTAGGATAACCTTGACACTTCAGCTTCAGAAGGGTTTATGTACTAAACTATTATTGCCTGTACTTTGAGGCAACCTAGATTTATCTAGTTCTCTTGTCAAGAACTTAAACAACGAAACCTTCCCTTCAGGAGAGAGCTGCAATATGAGAACTCCTATTCTAAGAATCTTGTGCCCCCTGCCCCAGACAACTGATTAGCTCAGGGCAATTAAGCCAACACCAGATCCCACACATGGGTAGGTGTGCATGGACATCCCACTTTCCCTCCCCTCCACCTGCTTTTGCCCTCCTGCTCTGTTGGACTGAGCCAACACTCTTCATTAAATTTATAGAGTTGGAGGTTTTTGACAGCTAATGCAATTAGCTAAATCCAGTGAATGCCCAGGCCAACATATGGCCTCCCAGCATAAGGCGAGGGAGGGAGGGGGAAGACTGGAAATCACCACTTTTAGCAGTGGTGAACTATTAGGGAGGGCCAGTGTGTGCTGCAGAATATTGATGATCCTGGCTTTCTAAGGTCTAAGACCATTAATTACATTAAGCCAAGAAACTATTAGTGACATTTTTCACTCTGTGTTCATACTTCCATCCTGCAGTGTTAAATAGCAATGGCAAAAAATTTTTTATTTCTTTTTGGTTTTAATATAATATAACAGCCTCAGCTCTTATCGAGAGTTTTTAAGCAGGGGGCAGATGTTTGGTTTGATTTTTTTTCCTTTGTGAGACATTCCTACCTTCCTCTGTTTATTCAGGAAGATTCAAGAGTAAGGCTAAAGGACAACAAAAGCGAGTGTCAGCTTCATAAAGCTGATGACTGATTTTTCCATTCGTATCATTAAAAACTGTTTAATATTTCTATTAGCAGCCTATGAACTAACCACATTCTACAAGCAACCTGAATTTTTTAGGAGTACAGATTTTCCACCATTCATCCCAGTGCCTTGTAATGTAGTTCTCATAACATTTCCCATGGAGTGGAGAGACAGAGGAGAAAACACTGAGCAATATCAGTGTTTTTGTGATCAACAAAAATGTAGAAAGGAGCATATATTTCTGTGTGTAGAGAAAAAAAGACAGAAAATTTTAAAATAAAAACAAAATCCAGCCCCAACCTGTCAAACGGTCTAACGAGAAAGTAACAAAAAGCCACACTGAGGTATGTTTAGTTTCTATGCTGGAGATTCAGAAGAAGTTTGAAAGAAAACCTGAGAGATGCTAAAAATTATTTGTCAGTCTATGCTCAATACTGTACATGATAACCTCTGTTTTTAGATCAAATAAGTCTTCTCTGCTTAACTCAATTTTTATAAATAAGCTGAATTGGTAAATGAAGCATTAAGGAACTCAGAAGGCCGAAATACTGCATAAAATTGATTTGATGCTCAGAACATTGAAAGAATTGCCTGGCTTTCATATGAGCCGCACTATGGATGCAGAATGCTTCTAGGTGTTCTACTTCCCATATTCAGCTTAATTCCCATATCCCCTCTGCTTTTGGGGTGAAGTCCTGGCTCTGCTAAAGTTACTAGAAGTTTGGCTGCTGTCTGCAATGGAGCAGAACATCCCTACTGGTGTGGCTTGCACTGTGACATCCTGCTGGTGTGGTATTATTTATTCATCTCATCCAGGGAGGATGCAAAGACTTCTCTGTGGGTTCCCTCAATAAACTTGGCCACAGATAACACACTGACTTTTTTTTTCCACCCACATACAATCTCCAGGATCCCAAATCTGAGCACAGTTTTGCCTTGAATTTCCAAGGACTGAAGGAACATGCTCTTGGTATGTCTCAAAGTCCTTCCATAGCCTCACGGTGAGACTTTGCATTCTAATTTGCAAGTCTGAGGTTTTATCAGACAAGAACCTGACCCAGCAGAGCATTGTGAAGAGCTGGAATCCCTATTTGTCAAGTAGGAATTCTGAAGACGCCAAAGCTACACTGCAGCTTCTGTGTGTCACAGGCTCCCACAAGAGAATGGAGAAGCACATCTCCCACCCCATTCCAGATGTTCAGCAACACAACTGGGATAAGTGCAGTGCTTTGAATTTGGATGGAGAAGGCAGGGAATCAGAACGGGAAGACTGAAGGAGGATGAGAATCTACCAACAGCATCCTGGTGTTTACAACAGGTATTTGCAAGGCTAGAAACCTGCATGCCAAGTCAAACTGGTACTGGTCTACTTTATGCACTTGGGCAGATCAGTCTGACTTTCAGGGTCTTGATTTTCTCATACAGAAATGATAGATTATTTTACCTTGTTAAAATTAACATGAAACATTTACGCGTAGTCAACACACATAATAGCAATAATGCAAGCATACAAACAAAAACATGGTGTGAAAGCTTGCCTATTTAGTTTAGTGAACAACAGTAAAGAGTTTGCAGTCCTCATCTCCTGCCCTAATCAACCACTTCAGAATCAAAGACCCTCAATGCTCTCTTAGAGAACAATATCTCTAAATTAAACAAAACAAGCCGAAGACTTCTAGAATAGTATGAGGAGGAAATTCGAGGGAGTTGCTCTGAACACTCAGTAGCAGAACCAGCTGCTTAAAGCCTTCAGGAAAAGCAAGAGGAGACTGTTAATTTTTTAAACAGGGGATACAATAGCTCCTATTTTAGGCATATCCAGGAAACTCCCAAAGCAAAAAAAAAAAAAAAAAGTCACCAAGAAATCCCTTAGACTAGAGGAATAAGAAGATCTTCATAGATTTAACCATGCTCCTTGTCCCACTGGCCCATCTAGCAATAGCAGCTACCTCTATTGACAACAAGAACGTTTGTACATACATCTTCAATTTCAAAAAATGAGCGGTTTTTTTTTTATACTTCTCACGTTCATAGCCCAGGGCAAGGGTTATGGGTGTGAGGGTATTGCTCCTCAGACACACACGTGGAACTTGGACTAAGAAGGCCTTTGATTAGTATTTCACCAGAAGTTAATAGCAATAATTTACTTCTACGGGGGAAAAAAAAAAGAAAGAAAAAAACCACAATAATTAAAAACAAAACAAAACAAAACAAAAAAACCAACACAAAACCTTTGACAACTTTGATGGGTTTTCCTTGAGCAACAGGGAACACAGAACACAATATAAATAGCACTTTCATATACAGGGGTGACAAGAATATTTCTACAATAAAAGCTTGCTTTCTGAGCTCCTTAACACCTCAGGAACAGGGGGGAATTAACTCACCGTAGGCGGGTGCCATAATATCACACCCACTTCCTACCATAACCTTCCTTTACACAAGTTTGAGAGAAACGAGCCAGAAGAACAGGGTGGGGAGTTCCTAAAAGTGCTGACCGCTGGCATGAAATTCTAGAGTTAGACGAGGGAGGCACGCAGCCGCCTGCTTCTGCCCGCTATGCCTTGGAAG